ATAATGTGAAATAGGAAGAAAAGGGGCAAAGGGGAAGGGGAAGTGGGAGGGGTAGGGGAAAGGAAAGAAGGGAATGGAATTAATGAGAAAAAGATAAAATGGAAACAAAGCCTTTGTAGATAGGGAAGGGTGGAGGGATTGAAGGGAGGGCAGGGGAATGGGAAAAATAAGAACTAAGGTGGATTATGTAAAGGTGCTAATTACCAATGATGAATGTCATTATACTGTATACCTTAAATGTACCAATAAAATTAATTTTAAAAAATTGTACCAAAAAAAAAACACAACAAAAACAGGTGTTTCCCATTTAACTGGCTTGCTCATTGTACAGGAATTAGGATTGTTCATTTCTCACAGGCAATTAAAGTGACACCACAGGCAGAAACACACAAAGTCTTCTTTTTATCTTTTCCACTAAATCACTAAACCCAGTAATTCTTATCAATTGCTTTTAAAAGAGACAAAAACAGAACAAAACAAAAAACTCAAACCAAGGAAAACAACACAATAATGAACCAAAAGGGAGGGGGCACTATAAAGGTTCCACTGATATTTCCCAGTCAGTTCCTTTAATTTCATTACTATTTGGGCTTGCATCAAAAAACATAGCTAAAAACAAATACTTTTTGTTGCTCTTGCTACTGCTGGGGATCAAACCTATGGCTTCACATGTTCTAGGCAACTGCTCAACCACTGAACTCCACCCCCAACCCCTAAAACCAAATACTATTAATTCCCTGATTATAATGAAATACTATATAATGAAAGCAGAAAAGACTGGCAGGCTTCCCTTACTGTAAAGAAAAGAAAAAAAAAATGAATATATTAGGCTTCCTGGTATCAAGGAGAAAGAAGAGAATTTAAATGAGACTCTTTTCCCTACTGCAGGTCTCCAACAAAGGCAAAACAAAAGCTGTCCACCTCTGATCCTGTTGAAGCCACCTAAATTATATTTCTCTGGATGGAGTCATAATGATTTGGGAAACAACTGTTATATCACTGTTGAGAAATAATAATTGTTAATCTAGAGCCCTGCCTATAGCTAGTGGTAGAAGTCTTCTCGATATTTCTAATTTCCTTTGTGAAATTAGCAAAGCCACCCCATGATACACAATTAGTAAAAATCAAAATTTTTAATTAGAAAAAACAAACCAATTTATAAGCTAAAAAATCACTGACAAAAAGTGACAAGACAGCAATATATTTTAAAATATTTTAGCTATAAGCACCTAAACTATTAAAAGTAAAATATAGTGAGAGAACATGCAGAAAGTCCATATAGAGTCACCTACATATCTATACATGAATTCAAGAAATGTCTGAGTATCATGCACAAGGCACTTCTGTGTACAACATTTGATATTTATATTTGTCCCTTGTTACTTAAAACTTTGTCTCTGCCCATACACTGTCCCAGAATAGAGGTGGGAGATCTAAGAACTTAAAACAATTTTTATGTGACTACAAAGTGTTATAAAGAGCTAGAGGAATCAGGGATGTCTTAGTGAAAATAGGGATTATGGATAGGAATCAGATGTGTAAAATCAGAGGACAGGCTGTTTTCATGTTAGGAAATCAGCATGAATGAAGGAAAGGATGTCAGCAATTACAGAATTATTTCTCTATTCTAGCACTGACATTGGCTGGCAGATTTTTTCAAATACTAGCATAACTTACAGATGTCTTTTCTAAGCATTTAATAGCTTTAGTTCTTATGTTTCTGCCTTTATACAGATGACTTTTAAAGAAATGCAATTCTCAGCCTATATGTACAATAGGTTCTATAGGTCAGTATAAGAACTTTTCCCTAGACTCAGAAAGAATGGCAGAATTCACAGGGAAAAGACAAATAGGTTTAGTCAGGTACAACCAACAGACTTGGAACCATGGTCAGTCTTAAGTGCTGGTCCAAGGCCTGGAGCTTTATAGTGGGCAATCACAAAACACCAAAAAGGCAAACAGCAGTAGAATCACCTATTCAGGCCAGATCAGAAAGACCTGTTAAATGAGAAGTAAACATTACAATATTATAAAAGACAATTAGACAACAGGTAAATAGGATGAAGAAATAAGAGGTCAGATAGATCAAGATAGAGACTGATATATATTACATTATATATAATGATATACATTATAACATTAAACAAGAGGTAAATAGGATGAAGAGATGGAAAGTGGTAAGAGATCTTAGTGTAGTAGGCTCAGGTAGTGCATCACAATGATGTCACAAGGGGGAAGAGGTCAAAATAAAGACTTAACAGGAGAATGATGTCACTGAGAGAAACTGAAGTCACGAAGAGAAATGTAATGCATTCTGCTTAGAACATATTCCATTGGAGGTGCTGGGAAGACATTTAAGTTATACAGGAAGACATTAAGAAGTCAAAAAAGAAGCTGGAAATGCGGGGGTGATGTCAAGAAAAGTCAACAAGGACACAAGAGGTCAGGTGGCATTCACAAGGAACAGATTAGCAGCCAGAAACCATGGAAAGAGATAGGAGAAAGGCCCTCTGGGTCAGAAGTAGCAGACCCATCAATACACCCCAGCACCCAGCAAGAGTTCTGAGCAGCACAGGGGTGGAAACTGAACACTGAGGGAGGACCTCAGGGATTGATAAGTATGAGATTACTGGTGTTTTAGAACAGTTTAAGCAGGACATCAGGGGTATGATGGAGTCTCAAGGGATGCTAAAATGTATCAGACACTCTCCCTACCCGGTGGGGGCAAAATGGCAGCTTCTGGAGAAAAGAATCAAGAAACACTTCTTGTTTTATTGTCAAAAAAGAGACTAGGTAAACAGGGGAAAGTGATGCAGGTTAAGGAGCTCAAAGCCACATGGTCTAGTCTATGCCATTCAGTATAGTAACCCCTAGCCACAGGTGCAAAAGGGAGTTAGTGAGGAAACGTGGAATGGAAGCAAAATCATCAATGTGTAGTGTAGAATTCTGTAACAGTGTCCACTCCTTTGCAGTTGTCCTTTGCAAGTTTACTTCTCCTTCTGCCTAGCATTCTAAATTCTAAACAGAAGCCACACCTAAATGACTAAGATGTTAACTGTTAAATAATCTTGCTGTATATTTACAAAACCCAGGTTTTATTAGAATATGTAATGCCCCCCCCCCTTGTTCTTTAGTTCTGTGCATCAACTAACACCAAGAATGTAAATTGCTATGGAAGTACTATGCCTAGAGAACCACAACGACTATCCCCATAAAGCTGAGGCCCATTGAAATGTTCTGGCCAAAGAAGAACTACGTAAAAGAAGACACATACACCCTGGATGACAAAGACCCCTTCTTCCCCACTGTCTCACTGCACCTCCTTTCCCTCCCTATAAAAGACCTGCCACGTACCTAAGTTTCTGAAAATGGAGCTTTGGGGAAGACAGCCCTTCCATCTTCTGAGGATCCCAGCCCTTGAACAAAACTTTCCACCACCACCACTTCCCACCAACTCCCTCTCTCAAGTACTGGGTTTCAGGTGGTGAGTAGCTGGACTGGGTCTGGTAACAATTCTTCAAACTTTATACTCATAATAATGAATTTACTTTTTCTTAAAAACAAAATAAAGGGCTGGGGGTTTAGCTCGGTGGCTCCACCGCCTGCCTCGCAAGTGCGAGGACCTGAGTTCGATCCCTGGTACCAAAAAAAATAAAAAATAAAAAAATAATAAAGTACAAGGTTTGTTGGTGAATCTTGCTCTTGTCTACCCTTAATATTAAAAGCCCACTGACAGAGATCAAATCATAACATCTTAGGTGAGACATGAATGTGCATGTGGGCAGGACTGTTCACTTTGAGCCATGGTGGCAGAAATAAGAAGATTAGAAAAATTGCAGATTCCTATAATTTCATGAATTTGGAGAGAATTTTCCTTAATGATGGCACTCCGGACAAACACTCCTCATTAATGCTAGGGACAAAAGTATTATGTGATATCAATATCAAAACAGTGAGCACTAGGGCCAGGGATTTAGCTCAGTTGTGCCACACCTGCCTCATAAGTGCAAGGTCCTAAGTTCAATCCCCGGTACTGCAAACAAACAAACAAACAAACAGTGAGCATTAATTTACTAACCTTCCTTCTTTCCATACTGTTTAACTTATTTTCTAAATAATGTCATAGTATAAGAAGTAGTTTAGTATATGTGCTCCCGAAGTGAGCACCAGAAGCACTTTAGCAGAATGAGAAAAACAGAGGCTTTAGCCTCTAAAAATTTGGGGATCAAACTCCAGCTCTGTCACTAACCAGCTATGATACTTAACGTCTTCTCTGAGCCTGCTTCCTCATTGGCTAGGCAGACATGATGAAGTCGTGGATGAAGGTCAAGTAAATTCACCTTTCTACTTGGCACAGTGCAGTATGTGATTTGCCCAGAGGCACTTCCTGATTATCAAGGAGCTGCCATCTTGAACCACTCAGGAGGGAAATGCAAGTATTCTTGGCTTTGCTCCAAGACCTGCCACACCATCATTTCTCAACAAAACTAACATGCAATTTTATTCAGGAATGCTCAGAGTTATGTTCACTTACTTTGTGTTAAGCTTCCTTAAAATTAGATTACAATACTCAATTTCCAACTCTATCCAAGTAAGTTATAGTCCTTACAATAAAGAAAACGTAGAATAGGAAAAGAGTACCTATTTTCAATGTTCAGCCACTTAGACCCATTTTGACAGCACTGATTTATACACTGATTGTTCTATAGGTAAGCCAGCCTGTACTGCATTCCAGTTTATTTTCTGGAGCATAATTAGTAATGATGATGATTAGTTAGGTAAAGAGAAGAACATTTACGAGACTATCACCCAAAGCTAATGATGAAACATTCTTTGCTCCTTTCATCATAAAGCTGAAAGATGCAAGTCAACTAGAGAAGAAAGGAAATAGAGACAAGGTCCATGTTGGCTAGAAAAGAAATTCAGAGTTTCTTGTTAAGTGTGTTATGCACAAGCACCTACTGACAATTGTTTTAGGAACCTGTGTCAGTTGTTGCTTTTTTTGTTTTTTTGAGAGCATGATGTGATACTCAAAACATTCATTAAGTTTTAAAAACAAAGAATACATTGATAGAATGCACCAGAACAAGTATATACTGAAATATATTGGAACAATTTTTTTAAATGTCACTGCAATTTGTTTTGGTTTTTTTTTTTTAAAGAACCTAAAGTAATGATCAAAGAGGAAAACAGACCACAAAATGAGAAAGTAGCTAAGGAAAGGCATTTTTTAAAATTATGCCTTACGAGATAGTATTTTCAAACATAGTTTCATAAAACAGTACTTTGTTACACAAACAATATCAACTGCACAACATGAAGGTAAATCAGAGAGGGGGAGGGAGGGAGAAGAGTGTTACTGTTGTTTGGGAGCCATAATATATTATATCAAGATATTTTTATAAAATTCCTTTTTTGAACTGTATAATTTTATGTGGTTTCATAAAGTGTGGATGTGATAAAGCACTCCCGTTAATTTAGTGGGCAATAAAATCTCCAACATTGAATTTTTATAATCCCCATTGCTTTTAGAAGTCCAGGCATATGAACCTAAGGTTTTAAAAAGGTGATAAATAACCCAGATAGGTTTACTCTGCTTCTGATAAAAATTTTTCATATATTCTCAACCATGGGATTAATTACAAACCTTCTCCAACGAACTATGGTATGATCTGATACTGATTACATCTGTCTGACTTTGAACTGTCTCATTTGATGTTCTACGTGAGAACCTTAAAATTTAATGGTTGTGTTAAAAAAAAAACCCTCAAAAATCAGAGATTAAATTTGGCGTTGTATTATTTTTCTTTTTCTATTGAAATAGCATGTATTTTTGATACAAATCAGCTACTTAATTCTTGAAAAAATATAAATATTTGAAATGAGATTAAACAATATACTTATAATTCCATTTCATCTGGTACTTCAGCTGGCAAGACTACTTAGTTATACTGGATTTTAGCAAACATGCCAATTAGTTACAAGAATAGAAATGGCCTGGTGACAAATATGTCAAGGACTTTTGGTTCTCTGGTAGCAGAGGGCAATTCTTCCAGGACAATTGCATAGTCTAATTGCTACAACTATAGGCATTGCTTTGATGGAACAGGGCAGTGGGCACCCGGACAATGACCAATCTTAATTGTGCATTTCACTGGCCCAAGCTCTAATCTTTGCACCATTTTCTCCTAGGAGAATTCTGGTTTGCTGTATTTGTTGAAGCCACAATCTGCAAAGTGAAAACCGCATTTAAATAAATGTCTTGAATGATGGAAGAAAATGGAATAGGGCATATTGATAGTGCCGGAGATCAACTATCCTAGGCAAGAGAGGAAGGCATAGTGAGAGAGAATATCAGTGGTCGAACATGAGAAAAGCAACAAACAGCTACAGTGCCAACATCACCCCGGGGACTCAGCACACAATCAAAGGCCTGGTCACAGCCTACTTGCCATATCTGTCCGTATGTCCCACAGAGCCAAGGGCACGCTGCTGTGATGCATACCAACAGTGTTACTGAGAAACCCAACTGACCAAGCAGCCAACGTTGCCAGAGATGTTACTTACTCAAGGTACGTTTCACTTAAGATGAGTTACTAAAAGATGAATGTATTTGGCCCACCTGGACTTTAGTGTTGCAAACCGAAAATTCAAGTATATTAGAATCCAGACAATTTTAGGAGTTAAAGCCACATTTCAGTATTGCAATAAGTGGTGATAACCACTGGTGTTTGAATAGCCACCCAACAATAAATATTACTGAGAACAGGAGACAAGTATTTCAGATCTAATACTACCTTTAAATAGATAGGTTACATTTAACAAATTGAGTCTGGACTAAATGGTCTCCCAAAATACTGTCTAATAAAAACAATGACACATTGCTGTACTTTTAACATGACAGTACTGCTGGGCTGCTCTTTCTAGGCTTCTTACCTTGACAGACAATTTACAGATATTATCTCACAAATATTATATATTTACATGAGATGAGGAGGGGATATTCAAACTATTTAAATGGGAGCCAGCTTACATTAAAATTTCCTTTTATACTTTTGACTTAATAAATGCATCTAGCTCAAGCTACCACTCACAGAAACAGCCACGATTTCAGTTTTCTGAGCCAATAAAAATTACTTTCTATGTAACTGATATCCTCCCTACATCTTGTAAGACAGCCCTATCAACCAAACTTACTGGATGCCTCATGGCTGTGTGGCTCACTCTGGAGACCATGCTGCATTCACCAATCCCATTGCTTTATCTTCTCTTGTCCTATCACCCAGTGATGGTCAAGGAAAAGTTGCTGATGGCCAGAAGGTGGGGAAAAGCTATGAAAGACTTTTAGGGGATCCTGGGCTCCCTGGACAGAGGGAGTGAAAAAAGAGGCCCTCAGATAGACAGACAGACAGAACAAATGAAGAAGTCAACTACCCTGTCTACTAGAATTCTAAGCAGAGCTGAACTTACAAATCCTGCACACTAGTAAATCCAAAGGGACATAAAACAAACAATAATTCTAAGTCTCACTGATGGCTGGGTGCTTACTAAAACAAAGCATGTAGTCTTAGGGACACAAGCATTTCCTGGGAACCCACCATTTGCCAAGCATTAGCCAAGACACCATGGCAAACAAGAGATACTGTTCTCAAGAAGTCAGGGAAGGACCTTGTCAAGATAAACACAAGAAAGCAACAAAAGTAGACAGAGAATCAGTTCTCTTTTTTTTTTGTCACTGGAGATCGAACTTGGGACCTTCCACTTGCGAGGCAGGCGCTGGAACCACTCACTGAACTAAATCCCCAGCCCCCGTGAGAATCAGAATCCTCTTTCACTGATCACAGAAATGCAACTGATCACAGAAAGGGAATGCCTGGCCAGAACCATTAAACAAAGAGGTATCATTGGCTGTCAGAAATAGAAAAGATACCAGACTTAAAGATTACAGCTGGCCCTCTCTGCCTTCTACTGCAGAGCCTGATGTAATGGAGGGAAGGATGCTGATACTTCCCTTAGGTGGTTAAGCACCTCTGCGAAATTGTCAACCTCCTCCCAGGCAGCAAGCTGAGCTCTGAGCCCACAAGCTTCAGGATAAGATTAGTTTGAAGCAGCACCTCAGGGTAGAGTCTGAAGAGAGCCCAATGCCAGGGACAAACAGGAAGTGACTGCTGGAGACTAAGGATTGAGGACCAGGAGTTGTACATGGAGGACAGCAAGGCCACAGTGGGCAGCTGTGAGCAAGGCCCGGAAAGCAAGGACATCTCTGCACTGTGGGCTTCCTCTGCCCTACTCTTCCTGTGCAGGGTATGAAGGTCTCCAGGGTACACTCTCTACATGTAAACGTTTTCTTCTATAAAATGAAGTACCCATGTGTGTCCCTCTACTCCTAATTCTGCTTCTTTGTGTGTGTGCGTGTGTGTGTGGAATTTGCAATCCTCTGCCTCAGCTTTCCAAGTAGCTAGGATTATGTGCCCCCAAGCCTGTCTCCCCACTTCTAACTGTTTATCCAACCACAAATTCCACAAAGAACTGAAATGTGAAGCAAATTTATTCTTTTAATGTTTTCTCAGTACATTGGAGAAACAATCGATACTCAACAGTGTACTGTTACTAAGCTACAATGTTCAGGAGGTAAGGTATATGAAAGTGCATTTTCAACTTAAGGTGGGTTTGCTGTAAAGGAAGGAGCAGCTGTACTCACCTGTGCCAAAATGTGAAGCAGACACACACAATGTCAAGGAGCCAGAAGGCTATATTCTGTGGGGTCCCACTCAGGACCTCAGAGTTGTGATAAAGAATTCCTTAAGCCTAAGGTATGTGAGAGTCAACAGGTGTGGAAAGAGGCCTTGTTGGAGCATTCCTTATCTGACTAAAAGCAGAAGCTTTTGAGAAATGAGACTGCCATAAATTCCTACTTTGGGGATGGTCTTTTCCCAGAAAGCAGACCAGGAGTAGACCCTCCATACATCCCTTTGGGGAAGTCTCATGACCAGTATGAAGACCGCATAATGACACATTATCATAAGCATTATCTCCTATTTGTACTCCTACAAAGCTAATTGTTTTTCCTAAACATTTTGAATTTTTCTTCCCATATAAGCCTTTTCTCTCCTCTTCTATTCCCCTGCTAACCTAGGTATATAATCTCTCAATTCTAGCCAATCCTTTGAGTTACTCATTACCTAGTATCTGCTGCATTTGCAAGTAAACATTTTCTACTATAATTTGTCTTTTATCAGTTTAAGTCACAGGTTCCAGACACTAAACCTAGGATTGTATTGAAGATTTTTCCTTCCCAACAGCTCCAATGAAAGTACATTTACAAAAACAGGTCATTGTTCACTGACTTTAGATCTATATCATTTCCCACTCGTCTTTTTCTCATTTTAAATTCAGTATATCACTCTGGAGACACCTACCCCAAGTTATCTTACCTAAGTTTGGGGGACAAACTATAAAATGCAAAGTATTTGTATAATTATTCTGTACTCAGTGGACACAATAAGGCTTACAGAGAGACAACATTACAGCCTTACAGCTGCAACATTTTTTAAAATGACTGTTTCCAGACAACAGGAAAGAAAACACAGAACAATGACACTGACCCTCACTCACCTGTCCCACTTAGTCAAAGTTCTGCAAAGAGTATGCACTAGCAGGCTCCATACATGGACACATGACAGAGACATTATTAGGGAATTGGCTCATGTGATTATGGAAACTAAAATGTCTCGTGACAGGCCACCTGCAGGTTAGAGACCCTATGATCTTGGTAGCATGGCTCAGTCCAAGTCACATGGCCTCAGAACCAGAGAAGGTGAGGGTGGTGACTCTCAGTTCAAGGCTGAAAGCCGTAGAACACACCGGCTGCTGGTGCATAAGTCCTGGAGTCCAAAGGCCCTCAACTGTTGATGTCCTCAGCAGGGGACCAGTGTGTCTCAGACCTGGGGAGGGTGGGTGTTGGAGGGGTGACTAATTCACCTTCTGTATTTGTCCTCTCTGGACTACAGGCTGGATGATGCTGGCCCACCTAGTTTACTCTGATTCATAGGCTGTCTTTCTCTGTAACACCCCCCCACACACACACACATGCACACAATAATGCTCTACCCAATTTCTAAGTATTTGTTAATCCAGTCAAGTTAACACCTGAAATCAACCATCACACCCACCAAGAGTAAATACTAATAGCATTAAAGAGAACATAAAGGCTCTCAGCTTCCTACTTAGAAACACAGATCTATTCATTAAAATAGGCAGTGAGAAGTCATTATGATAGCTCCAGATTAAAGGCAACTCCTCATCTGATGGAACTTTATGAAGACATGGTGATAAGTTCCTCCTGATGTGGACACAATTCTTGTGTTTATTTGCATAGTAATAGCAGGCTAGAAAATAGGTGAACAAAGCCAGGTGTGGTGGTGCACACTGGCAATCCCAGCACTCAGGAGGCTGAGGCAGGAGGATCACTGCAAGTCTGAAGTCAGCCCGGGCTACATAGTGAGATTAAGACCAGCTGTACTACATAGTGAGACCTTGTCTCAAAACAAAACACCAATGAAAGGAAAGGAAAGGAAAGGAAAGGAAAGGAAAGGAAAGGAAAGGAAAGGACAGGACAGGACAGGAAGCAAGTGGAACAATTTTAGATTTTAATTTCAGGTCTATACAGCACTATCTTACAGTCTTAGTCTTACCTTTACCATCTCAGCCACCACTAGCCAATTCCCTAATAACCTCCTTTTAATAAGTGTGATATATACCCACACACTCTATTGGTTCTGTTTCTCTGGACTTTAACGCAGTGGGAGATTGTGTAAAATTCCCAAACACATAGCACATTCCTTCAAAGTGCTGAAGAACATATGATTTATGAAAACCAGAACTTCCCTAATTTGAGGCAACCTGAGACTGGAAGGAGACGCAGAGAGGGGAAGTCTTGGTTCAATTATAAAACAAACAAGAACAAAACCCACCTAATTATTAAGACTCCCTTACATTCACACATTAAACATATATGTGTATGTATTTCTTAAAACATACGTATTTCTTAGAATTCCTTTAAATTACCCAAAGAACATTTAAACAGGTGAAAAGGATGGCAAATTAAACATCTGTTGGGTTTTTACAGGTACCTCTTTAAATAAGTCTGTTCCAAAGTCATTCATAAGATTCTTTTCTTTGAGCAGAGAGAGTGTTTATTGCCGCAGTCTCCATACCTACTCTCAATATTGATGACGCACGGCACGAGTTAAGACTCAAAGTGAAGTTGCAAAGAATCCTAAAGGCATTGGTACTAAAATTAAGCACCCTGGGGGAATCAGCTGTCAGTTTGCTCATTACTTCTGCTTTTTCTTACTTCCAGCTGAAGTAGCTCAACGAGTGCTAATTTTCCTTTTAGGCAAAGTAAGAAGCAAAGAAAAAAGTACAAACCCCGAAACTAGATATTGAGCAGCGGTGCAAACACATACCCATTCATTAATCTGTCTTTCCTAACCGAACAATAATTTCAAAAGATTTTTCCTCTTGCTTTCTTAAATGTATTTTTAAGTCAACTTTAAAACAAAACTTATCA